TATAATTACTGCTTCTGCTTTATAAATTTACAATTTTATATTAAACTACATACCCATGTCACACTTAACATTACTAAGTATTTCAATTCAGAATTTATTTTTTATTCAACTAATAAATATGCATATTATTGGTAAATTCGCCATACACCGCTGAGTCTATGTATTTGTGCAAGTCAATTTCGGGGCTTTTTTTAATTTTATTCTTTACTGAACATAAGGGTCCCAATTTTACATTTTTGGTCATTCAGCATTTACAGTCGGATCTTAAAGTTTGACATATTGATGTTCTTGCCCCGAGGAGAATTTTTTTTTGTTCCAACCTTGACCTCAAGTACCCTGTTCTAGTACTTATTCACCAGATCTCAGCTCATGTCACCCTAGTGTACCACCCCAATGTCAGTAAATTAAAGCTCACCAAAAATTATTAAACTTTTGCTAGGGAAGTATTTTGATTATTTCAGTAGAACTATATAAAAAAAAAATTTGTGGCCAAATGTGTCACCGAAAAATTTTCATTTTTTTTCCAAAGTTGCTTTGTAAAAGTACTTTAGACTCAGGGGTGTAAGGCGAACTTTTTTGTTTACTTGTGAGGTGGCACGGTCTAATGTACATACATATGCATATTTTGACTAACATTCGTTAATTCACTAACTTTTTAAATGTCGATTTTTAAATCTCTGTATGTATGTACTTCACTTACATCTAAAAATACTGCTATTTACTAATCTTGACATGTACAAAAAGATTTAGAATCTATGAGTATGCGAATGTAGTATATGTATGTATTTATGTTTGTATGTAGTACTTAATCAGATATTTTTTTTTTCTGTTTAAAAGAATTATAGTTTTACTACAAAATATGTTTTAAGGATCGTACAAAAATGCGCAACTGTTATTTACTAATTTTGTTTTTGTTTTTACGGAACCACATTTTTAGTTGATTACCAATTCTAATTATTTGTATCTATAGTAATTGTAGAAGTACAGACTGACAGTTTCTATAATATGTATGTATGTATTTACACCTTCTTGTAATTTCTATTACAATTTGTTGATTACAATTTGTTGATAATATTATATATATATATACATGTGTGCATTAGGGCGCTCCACAAAATAGTAATGTCGAAATTTTAATGCTCCCTCCCAAAAAAAAATATACCTACATTTTTTTATTTATTTTGAAATCAAAAATATTTAGAGGTCGCTCGAAGCGATCAAAGTTTTCCATGTATTTTATAAATGGGGAAAAACTAGTTTTTCCTGGAAATGGTATATGATTCTTGAAAATCAATATTTTCAATCGAGGAGCTTAGTTTCTCTTCAGGAGACTTCCTATTATAATGCCCAATTTTTTATTTAACCGTTTTTTGATACTAGCGATTTTTTATACCCGCACCGATCCCTCACCCCCTTGCATTTTTTGGGGGGACCTTTAAAAAATAGTTATTATTAAAAACAATTGGGTATTATTATTGGAAGTCTCCTGGAGAGAAGTATAGTTTCTCGATGGAAAATATTGATTTTCACGAATTCTATTCATACCATTTCTACGAAAAAGTTTGCTTTTCCTATAAAAAACCAGTGAGCGAAAACAAAATTTTTTTCATAGCGCTGCATTAGTTTGAAATGTTTGAATATCAAAATTAATCAAAAAAGAATTGAAAGATAATTATGTAAATTAAGTCAACGAAAGACTTAAGACACGAACTCGCACAGAAAATGAAGAATGGACTGTTCACGCTAATGATAAATAATCTGGTAGTTGAAATGATTCAGCATCAGGTTTGTTCTCATTTTGCTCTTTTTGAGAACGTTCGCGAGAGTTTTGGTCGCATTTTGTTCTTTAGCTATGGATACGTTCCCGAAACTTTCATTCCCATTTTTCCATTTTTTCCCCGTTCAAACTGCTCTCAATCAGCCCTATTTTGATATTAAATTTTGTTCTCATGCAGAACTAAACCAAAACCGGAATGCGTTCTCGGTCTCTGTATAAAATACATGGAAAACTTTAAGCACTTTGAGCGACCTTCAAATATTTTTTTTATTTCAAAACAAAAAAAAAACATGGGTTAATTTTTTCTGTATAGAACAATCATAGGCGGAGAAAGGTTTTGGGACCATCCTAATGTACACATAAGCATTTAAATATGTATTTATAGATATAATCTTATTTTTTAATGAGTTTAGGTAATTTATCCAGCACCTAGTATACACTGCTAAAAATGTAATCGTCTTTACTGCTGACATTAGTTTTTGTTTTTGTTATGTATGTACATATGTTTGTATGCATTACAATATTTAGGATTATATCCAGCAAACATTGAGGTTAGTGATCAATTAGAGAATGATTGGAGAACTAGCCACATTCTCCAATCTCAAACGTTTGAGAACGACTTGAAAAAGTATCGATAATTATAGCGATCTCAACAAAAGTGGGCCACAGTTCTCGACTCGAGAAAATATTAATTCTCTAATTGAATTCTAATGTTGATCTCTAATGGGATTCGAATGTGAATCTCAAACTGCTGTTTTGCTTTATTAAATAAAAAGCTTTATTTGGAATATTGCGTATTTACATTTATTTGAGTTTGCGTTTTTTCTATAATCGTTCTCGAATCGAATTCTAATGTAGTTCTCTAACTTCGCCATCGAATTTCTCTAACGTTAGAGATTGTGTTTGCTGGGTACGAGTACATTTCTCTGTAAATGGAGAGTTTATGTACAAGTACCATATTTCGCCGATTTCCGTAATCTTGTTGCTTTAAATAAAGAAAAAATGCTCTGAGCAATCCACTTTTCAGGAGGGCGTTTTCGAGGATTCATAAGCAAATTTTTCGAATAGCAGGGCGCTCTATGAGTTGTGTTTAGCCATTGCTAATAGCGCAATTTTTATGGCGCTAGCCCAATAACGGCGGAGCCACCTATGGTATCATCGTACTAACTCAGTGCAATAGCGCAGTGTACTGATTTGAACATGGCGCTATCTGAGTGTCACCACAGTACCAATCGTCATACAGTGTAACACACCATACAGTGGTGTCATGTCTATTATTACTTTAACTGTCGGCGATGAGCAACGCTTGTACCGCCAACCGAAATTAATTGCTAGGAATGTGCTAAATGCCACGATATTCTCATCATTATGGAGTAAAAGCTTCAAGTTTACCAAAATACATAAGTTTCTGGCGTTCTCACCACTTAAAAGAAAGCAACAACAAAGTAAATGCAACTTTTAAAAGAATTAAGGCGAATTGTGTGTGTCATGTGTTTTTTGGTGTTAATGGCACTAGGACATTTCATATATTGGTGTTGGCGCGGCAACTCCGGCTACGGTGTTAGCGCAATTGCGCCGCACAGCGCAGTGTTACCCATACCTAGCTGTGTTGTTCGAAAAGAACATAACGAACCAGATCACTCGTCTAACTACCGTTCTTGCGTACCCGAAAATTTAGCAAAGCTGAGAAGTTTATTATGAAATATCTTAGAAAAACATCACCACATTTTCTAATTGTTTGTTTCTTGTTAGAATGACCAATGTTCAGAAAGACTGAATCATTTCTTGGCTATCGATTCATATCCTTGCCAAACCGAGTTTGTCGATTTTAACGAACTCTAGAACAGGACGAGAATCTGCAAGAAATCGAAAATCGTTATATGTGACCTGGTCTACGGAAAGGGGGCTTAGGTGTCAAAAAATCAATTTTCACTTTTTGGTTGATTCGGATGGAAGATGAGATGCTTTTTCACGTGGTGAAAAGCAGAAAATCCTAACTTGCTTAGAAGTACAAAAACGTCACTTCTTCAGTGTTACTTTTTTAAATGTTCCACACTAGCAACTTACACGATGAACTATAATAATATTCCGACCAACAATAACACTTACTGGACCAACAACAACACTTACTGGACGTCCGGCGCGGAGAACAATTAACGAGATAATGCGAAACGAGTTGCTTACTTTTAACAGCTTTTCACAGAAAACTAGTTTTCGCACGTAAGCTCCCTTTTCGTAGACCAGGTCACATATATTTGACGCTGTAAAATGGTGCGACTTATCCTAGTGGAAGTCGTCTTCAGTGAGAGTTAATGGAGGGCCACTCAAAGCGCTGGGAGATATCCTGTCTTTAATCGGAGTGTAATGCATACTTCGAATATTAGGGCTATTCGCGATTCGGTGCATAATAGCTGACAAATTTATGCAATTGCAGAAATATGCTATGGATTGTGAGCGACCTTAATTAAACTGTCATGGTAAAACTTTTTTAATCAGCTGATAGAAATGTCAACCAGAGTTGCAATGCATAGCATTTTTATGCTATGGATTTTCGGTATTGTAAATTTGTCAAGCAATGACAAATGCAAATGCGTGTATTTTGTTTGTGTATTGCAAATAATTTGCAATACAAATTTGCAATGCAATGATGCTAGGCCATTTGCACCGGATCGCGAATAGCCCTATTATTTGATTATTGATTATAGTATTCACATGCGTGCAGTTGCAATATTTTCCAAAATTTTGTTTCCGCCTGATATACGTATGTATGTATCTCTACAGTTATCATTTTCATCTATAGTACAGTTCAGTATTTACAAAAGAAAAGTAAAAAAACATGAACAAACAACCTTCCTAGCGCTAGACTTCCGCTAATTTACAATACTAAATCTACCATTGTTTTCCATTTGTCTTAAAATTTTTCTCTACTTTGCCTAGTTAATTTAACTATCCATTTCCGGCTCCTCACTGAGCGTGTAAACTCCCAACGTCGCCTGTGGTCCGCTGCCGCTAACAATAGTTTCCAAACAAGACTGCGCGGATTCCTCCAAGAGCGGCGTATTTAAAGTAGACATACCCATACCAGTTGGCAGAATATTTGTTGGCGTAGTAGCAGTGGCTGTAGCGCTTGTGTATGGCGTCAAATTATTTAAAGTGGCACCACCGCCCTTCAGCAGATGTGTAGAGCTTGTTGACGAGCTATTTGGATCCATGGTGAGTATAGGTACGAGCTCGTGATTAATATATTCTTTCATTTGGTGCATTTGATTTAGATCTGTTTCCAGTTGAGCGCCATAGGTGAGTGAAGTGGGTGTGCCTACGAATAAAAAAAATAAAAATACTTTTAATAATACCGGTTTCAGTTCAATTGAAGCAAAATTACTACTCACCCGATACCAGCGTCTCTTCGGTGGGATTACGTTTGTACAAACTTGTGCCCTTTTCATATTGTCAAGGCGGCATATAGTATCCCTGCTCCTCACTCATCGTATCCAATACGTTAGCACCTTTCTTGAATTCCACCACAATTTTGATGCGATGCACAATTTCCTCATGTATAACATTAAAACACATCGCTGTCAATGCCATGCCGGACATTATGTATATCGAACAAAACCATGTAGTTGCAGTGGACTCACGCCGTAACCCCGGTAGCATATCACCGAAACCGATTGTGGACAAACTCATGAAACAAAAGTAGATGCCATCGAGTATAGGCCAATCTTCTAGTCGATACAATACCACCGCACCGATTAGTATGTAAATAACCATCATCGAAAGACACAACAAAATTGGCGCCAATATACTTAGCCCGTGCATTGAGCCACGTGATTCGCTGGCGCTCAGTGAATCGATATCAGGTGGCAGCATTTGTGTGCCACTACCCGCTAGGTTTGATTGTTTTTCGGTTGTTGGAAATGAGTCGTGTACAAAATAGGGTTCCTGTAAGGCAGCCTGCTGTTTACGCAATTCCTCCTGTTGTCGTTTGCGTTTCATGCGCCGCTCTTTTTCGGCCATACGCTTTTCATCGTAACAACAATAGCCGCAATTTGAGCAAAGGCAACAGCACAGCGCTTTGGAGAACACTTCGCGTGCCACTTTCGCCAGAATGCCGCCGGTGCTGGAGAGATAAACGAGCGTAAGTGGTATGCCAAAAATGGCATAGACGAGCGTAACCAAACGGCCGAGTGTTGTGCGTGGTGCAATATTGCCATAGCCTGTGTGAAGAATTTAGAAGAAATAAAAAGAAAAAAAAATGTACGAGTTTAGTAGAAGCCGGAATACGGTAAGAAATTATGTTAAGGCTAGTTCAAAGTAAAATAGCTATAAATAAGTTTGAGATGGTGAAAAAAAGAGATCACAGTTACCCAAATGCAACTCTGCTCGGACATAGGAAATGTACTGAAGAAATCTGTGTAAGATTCTATAAAATTCGTTTTTTGGTTGTAAATCATTTGAAACGAAGAAAATTCCATAAAAGATTCCTTATTAAGAATATCTTTTAAAAATCACATTTCGGAGAGCAAATCTGATTGATTGCATCGTTTAAAAAGAAGAATTTCTTAATTTAATGAAATACTTTCTTGAATTAATTTAAAATTACTTATTCTTAATTTCTTTTAAATTCCATGAGACAAGTAATGCATACTATTAAATAGAAATGTGAAGGTAAGGTGGCCGACCACCGAACAGTGTGTCAGACAGAGGCAAGGTGTATCAAAAATCTGCAACTTTTTTAATTTTTATAGCAGATCTATGAAACTTTGCACATGTTATATCAAAGATGAAAGTAGCACTTTTTTTTGAACAAAGCAATGGAATCCCTTTAAATATGTATGTAAGTAAGTAACTAACACATAAGCTATTTAGCTGACGAAATTTCCTAAATTTGCAGGAGTGCCGTTAGCTCTACTTTAAATCTTGTTTTCACTATGTCAAATTCAATGTTCATCCATTCCGCACAAATAATAAAATCTTGATTCAGATCCTATCTCCATTAAAATAAATGTAACGCACAATAATGATTAATACAAAAAAAATGCCATAATTCATTAAAAATATAGAGGGGACTATTTTTTAAAATGTTATTCTATGAAAACTACGGTTGGGATTTTGATAATTTTTTTTTCCAGGTTTATTTCAAGAAATTTCGCGGGAAAAATATTGGAGCAATGGGTGGTTCTCGGAAATTTCCACATTTCATTTCCACAAAATTAAATTTTCATAATTATTTTTATATGGGCCAATTAATTAATTTCTTAATATCTACTGAAATGTAAATTTCAAATTGAACTTTTCCATTTTTTTTGCACCGGTTACCAGTTACTTATTACAAAAACAAATTTTTTTGAATGCCCATCTTTAAAATTTTTTTTGTCCCCTACCAGTTAAAACTCTACTCAAGAAAAGGACACCAAAATATTTTTGTACCGACTACCGTTTACTTTTTTTTTACAAAAACCGTTGAAAATCTTAAAAATAAGGCTGGATGTAAAGCGGTCAAATTCGGGCAAAAATTTTTTAAATCAACTAAAATTTTATTCATGACAGATTCTAACGCTGAATATAACACGACAGCAGCATACAGCGGTACCACTTAACACTCTACTCAAAAATAAAAAACAAAAATTTTTTGGAGCATTCAAAAAAAATATCAGCTATACCTTCTATCGCATTTTTCCTAAAAAAAACTAATCGTCGTACAAATAAATATTAATTCGCCACAATTATATTGACAAATAAGTTTTTTAGTTGGCAAACCTGATTTAATTTTTTATTTTTTCAAAAGTGCAGCTTGTTACTAATAGCATATTTAAACAAGCAATAAAGTTACAAATAGTTCCTTTTGAAAATAATTTTGGCAGATAACTTTTCCAAACATTGAGTTAATTTTACTTTATGCTTGAAGCAAATAAACTGGAGAAAGGCAGAAATGTAATTGCCTATTTAAAATGACTCTTTTGGTAATTTTCAAGACTCAGAGTACCACATCACCATTACCTCAAGCGCTTCATATTTAACAACCTCGTATCAAGCGTTTTTCATCAAGCATCAAGCTACTACACACACATATGTAAATGAAGGCTCAAAAAAATTGCACTTCTTATACTTAAACGACATTGTACCAGCAAATAAACTGCCGTTTGTATGCCAAAATTGAACGCTTATCTGACTCATATTAAGCATTTTTTCATTACCCTCGATTGACAGATAAAACAATAAGATATTCATGAAATGGCATGCATGTTGCGCTTGAATGCCTGAAATGTATCGTACGAAATGCCATTTGTGTTGTTTTAAATTACACTAATAACAGTAAAAATTTACAATATTGACTGATTGAATTCCGAAAGGGAGTGCAAAATTAAGTATGTAGATGAAAGGCTCCTCTTTTTATTGCATATACATATTTACAAGCACATATTGTTTTAACTTTCAAGCCGATTATTGAAAATTTCCATATGCCCCCTCTTTAACGCTTGTGAAGTGGCGGTTTTATTGCGAGCAAAAATGTACGTAAAGTTATAAAGTTACATGCTTGTACGTTATGGGAGTGGAGTTCGTTTTAAAAAGGCAATCAAGTTTTTAGGGTAAAAAGAAAGTCTTCAAAGTTGGAAATCGACCGAACACAACGCCGATTGGAAATATATTTTCCAAAAATACAAAGAAAGGTCCAAAAGAGACATAAAAAAATCTAATGCTGGATTTCCACTAGGCATTAAATGGCAAAAATTGTAATGATAAAGTTTGGCAGTAAAAAATATTCGTGTCTTTACGTTAAAAAAAGTATCATTTAGTTAATTTTCAGATGGCATTTTTTAAATGGCGCCAATTTTTTGCCATTTTAATGCCTAGTGCAAATTCGGCTTATATTAAAATTTTGTATTCAAAAAATGTAATTTGGAAACGAACTAAATGATTTAACACGGCTACTTTCTAATGTCGCAATTTGCTATTATACATTTTTTTTTAATGTAATGCTCAGTAAAAATCTGCCATTACAGTGCCGTCTGTCTGAATGACTTTGGCTTTTAGAAAGACGTGACGTTTGAGCGTGACGGATTTTGATGGAGGTAGAATTCCAGATTTAATCTTCTCAATGATTTTTGAAAGCCGTGAAAGATCTGTTTGAATGCAAGACACAGTGGCCTGGAATCCCTGGAAAATAGCTAAAAGTCGGATTTTAGACTGGCGAAAAAGAAGCATATTTTCGAGATCTAGGGACTTAAAAATAGCAACGAGTAAAATTTCATAGAATTTCATAGAAACGAATTTAGCATTTTGTTCTTTGGACTTGGTCAGTAAAGCTAAAAGAGTGGTAAATATCTCTAACATATTTTATTCAAATTGTATGTTCTTGGCTTAGATTCTACTGATGTTGCTTTAAAATAAATCAAACATTTAAAATAACTTTACTTTGTTAATCAAATTTTGCATTTATCCAAAACGCGCGGCTCGTTAAATGCTGGAAACTTTTGCCATGTCCAGCCAGCATGTTTCCACCAAACCCGAAATTATAAAACCAACAGAACACGCTAGAAACCTTGTCCTTCTTTCTTTATCTTCAAACAAGTCCGCGCGTTCTACTGCTCTTTACAACAAACTCGGCTAGGTGCTTCTACGAGGATGATAAGAGCCCACGTGCAGAAGTATCTAAGCAGCTAACTATAATATTATCTCCTGCAGATATGTCTACTACTTACCAAGTCATTTCCCTAAGAAACGTTCGATGGCTACCTATTTTAATCATCTCGCATATATATAAAAGAAAGGAAGAAGCTAATTCGCAAACTGAAGGTCCTACATTCTTTGTTTTTTGTTGCTTGCAGTGGAAATGTTTATTGCTAGTTTTTTCTTTTTGACATTTTCATAGCTGTAAAGCTTGGCTCAAAAGTCATGAAATACAAAGTCACAATGACAGGGCTGATGCGCCTGTGCATATGCTTTGCATTTTATTTATTCGCAAATTACTTACCGACAACTACCACAAACACCAATATATACATACATACATATATGTATATACGTTAGACTGCATCACTCCCCATACAAAAAAAAAAATTTGGTACTGTGTTTCCATTGGATTTATAAAATCTATTATATTTTAAGACGTCCACCAAAATATTTAGGAAAAATATTGAGATTTACGTGAGCTGGACCGATTTGAAAACACCTCCAAAAATAAAGTTTTTATGAATAAAAATAGTTTCTTAAAGATTTTTTTTTTCAAAAAAATCCACTCAAATGAAAAAACGGTTTAGGCCTAAAAAATTTACATAAAAAATTAAAAAAACAAAAAATCTGAACACGAATGACTTTTTTTTAGCACATAAAGAAAAATAGTGGGAAAATAGTTTTGGCCCAGTTATTCTATTCAAGTTCAGTACAATTCCGTTGAAAAGATTTTTAAATATTTTTCTGCAGATTTTTTAAGCTTAATTTGTTTTGACATCTGAGGGGACTTTTTTCAAAAAGTTCTTTAAGAAGCTATTTTTATTCATAAAAAACTCCATTTTTGGAGGTGTGTATTTTGAAATCGGTCCAGAACACGTAAATCTTAATATTTTTCCGAAATATTTTGGTGAATGTCTTAAAATATAATAAATTTTGTAATCCCGGCGGAAAAACCGCAACTTTTTTTGGTGATGCAGTCTAATATACATATGTACATACATACATATGTATATGGGACATTGTATATTGGAACATGCGGCTATAAAACTACCACACCAATACAAATACACACCAGCTAAACCAAATAAACTCGTGCTATATGTTATACTTGTTAAGCTGTGGAATTGCCGCAAAGCATTGCGTATAAGAATTGATGAAAAATAATTTTTGTTTCGTCATTCAGTTTATTTCGGAAGCTAACATAGCAAATTGGCATAATGTATGCAGATGTAGAGCCTTTTAAGCTACAACAAGCAATATTGGGTATTGTATTCTCGTATGTATGTATGTACAAATACTAGTATATACAATACTTCTTGCAATTGTTTTTGTGCCATTGGAGAAAATTTGCAAATTAAAAGAAAAGTAGAGCAGAAACGGAAAATTTCTGCTGATATTGGCAATTTGCAAATATATTATGAAGATTCTTTATTGTTTTTTGCGTACACGCATTGTTCTTTCGGTTGGCTTTCAACAGCAAGCATTGTTGTCTTTATGTTGTCTGCTCGCATGACTTCTGTTCCTATCGCAAGGAGTGTGTGTGTGTATAG